ACACACACACACACACACACACACACACACACACACACACACACACACACACACATACATATAAAATCAGAGTATATATATATATAAATATCTCCCCATAACCAAAAATCAGGCTCCACAGGCCAATCACAAAATGTTTTATTAATATTTTTTTCAGAGAAAAAGTTACTGTACTTAGGAATGGTCAAAGGACATGTGTTGAATGACTAAGGAAGTGTTTGGAAGGAAATGGCAACCAATTCAAACATTTTATGCAATTTATATTTTAAAGTGTCTATGGGGCTTCACTTTTGGTACATCCTGTATGTAAGTATGTGTGTGCGTGTGTGCGTGTGTGTGTGTATGAAAAATCCAAGTGCAAAAAATAAAAAGGATTCCCTTAACTGCTCATTTAGTCTATACACACACACACGCACACACACACACACACACGTATATATACGTATATATACGTGTGTGTGTGTGTGTGTGCGTGTGTGTGTGTATGAAAAATCCAAGTGCAAAAAATAAAAAGGATTCCCTTAACTGCTCATTTAGTCTATACACACACACACGCACACACACACACACACACACGTATATATACGTATATATACATATACATATATATATAGATGTGAATGATACATATACAAGCACGCATGTCCACACACACATATACAGAAATGCAGTATTCCCAGAAATATGAGTAAATAACACTGTCAGCATATCTACAAGCGGTAACTTCACATTTCTTTCTTAATGTATTTTCCACATGAGTTACCAATTTGTAATGATTACATAAGAAAATCCATTTACAACCTTCAACAATGTCAGTTTTTGAATCTTGATCTTAGTCTCTCCCTCCTTTTTCACATCATGAATGGCTAGGCTTGGCTTGGCTTGGCGTTTTTCCCATCGACCACAGTTATCACACCAGATCTTTCAAACCATTTTTCAACAACCAAACAGCGGTACTACTGGGCTGACCCACAGTACAGTAGTACAGTATCCCAGGATCTCTGTCCCCAGCCCCTCCGCCCTCCCTCATGGCCAGGGCCACTATGCAGGGCCCAGAAGAGGACAGAGGTAACTGGAGGTGACCATTCAGCAAAGAGAAAGGGAGGACAAAGGCTATGTACAAAGAAAGATGGGTTACTCCCATTTTTATTTTGTGTGTGAAAGCCTGCAAAAGTAACACACTGCTATTGAAATTAAAATTAAATAAGCAAAGCAGGTCATCATTCAGGTTCAATACATAAAAAAGAAAAAAAGAAGACTCCCCTCCCCCTTAAGTCCCTTTCAAACCTGTCACTGCACCAATGACATAAATGATTTAGGCACAAGCTTTTGAACAGTTTTACTATGGAAGGATTATCATGAGTATGGCAAAGCAGCTGTAAGAACTGTAGAAAACCTATGTTGCTTTATTAAAGCTAGTATAGGCTTTTGGAGAATTTGTCCATTCTTAGCCCTTTAAACACCTGTCTTTGTAGCATTTGTGTTTGCGATTTTTTAAAAATCATGTATTCTTTAAAAAAATACTTTTTTCCTGAAATGTTTTCCATAGTGTTTTTTGTTTTAATCATAAACCTTTCAGTCAGACTATTTGCTTTTTGAAGACCCAGCCTTGCAAAGAAGTGCTCTTTAAATATATATGTATTTTCATCTTTTTTTTTGGGGGGTAAATCATTTTGCCCCATTCACTGATATATCACAGCTTGGCTTGTTAACATATTGACAAGCTGCTCTACTATAAGTATGGGTGAAACCCACAGAAAAGAGGAGATGAGCAGGATTTCTCCCTGTCAATTACTTACATTTCTAGGAAAAAAGTTGCAAGAAACAGATTTCAGGAAGAACTTCATGGAGTTTCTAACTATGTTTTCAATGAGTGCTTAGAAATAAGTTCCACCATGTTTGAGGTTTACTCATGGATAAAAGTGGCACAGTTCAGCCTCAGAATCCCAATGTACTTATGGAAGTCCTGCATAGCGCATGATGGCTTTTTCATCCTGATGGCATTCTCAGCCTACGCTCCCATCGGAATTAACAGAGGAAATTGTTTTCTGCAATTGACTGTGTATTAATCTTGGGCAGCCATCAACCCACAAGCCTAGAGTGGCTCTTGGCACCCGAAGCCCTGGTTCTGACTAGGGAGACAGTGCAACACCAAAAAGCAGTTAAAGAAAGACTTTGCACCTGTGTGTCTATGGCTAGCAAGAACTATTTCCCATTTTCTCTGCAACTGGCCAGCCTGGTGCATGTTTACCCTGAACGAAGTCTGGACATCATGGCAACTTCTGATTCCATGTGCAAAGCTGCCTTTTCCTTTGAACTCATTGGGAAACAAATGAGGGCAGATTATGTAGGGTTCTTCACATCTTTTTATTCTGAGAATTGTTGATATGCTGCTCTCTGTCACTTCCAATCACAAAGAGGGAAGGCTTTTTTTTAAAAAATCAACTAAGGCAGTGTAATTTTAAAAATCTTACTTCTGATAAAAATGCAATGTATCAACAAATTTCAGTTATCTTTCCATTTAACCCTCCAAGCAAAGATGGATGAAAACTAATCTGAATTCAAATGGAAGCTGTTTTCAGTTGCTTTTGTGGATTTCAGCCTCTGGGCAGTAAACTATTTATGTGCACTAGAACTGAGTGAGTTTCTAGCATGTTCTCTCCCCACCCTATAAAGAGCAAACAGTGTGGGAACAAGTGTTGTGACAGCAGATAATGCATCCATATATGATATTATATTGGGAGCATCAATTATTAGCCATCTTGGCCTAGACAGATCTCAGTACATCTCACACTGATACATAACAGGTTTGCCTTTCAAGGGTGAATGTTTCATTCCATTTATTTTTAATACTGGAAACCTGGCATCTCCATTCTAAGCACATGAATTGGAAGGAAATGTATTAAATTGGGTTCTACAAATAACTTGCATGATTAGCCCTAATGTGTAGAATTTTTAACCCAGCCAGTCATACTTAAAACCTAAGAAAGGAACTGAATTTAAGTTAGTTGAAGCAAAATGAAATCCAAATTATTTCAATGAATCTAAGGGGAAGAATAGGGGGCTTTGTTCTCTGATAGAATCAGACTGAACAGAGTTGCTTGCATCTACAATAGGAACTACAGTCCAGATTACAATGGCAGCAGGAGACAAAAAATTAAAGTCCCCTCACCCCCAATCTTTTTAAAGCAAGCTTGAGCCTGCAATTTTAAGATGCGTAGTCCTAAGAGTGGAGAGGTGCCTAACACTTCCTCACAGCAGCTACTTTTTCCTCTCCAAATAGTTCCCAAAGGTTTAGCCTCCCCAGGTAAGATTTAAAATGTTTACCTTCTAAGACAGAGTTTTTCAACCTCAGCAACTTTAAGATGTGTGGACTTCAACTCCCAGAATTCCTCAGCCAGCACTGAGGAAGAGGGAATCACATTTGACAGATTAAGGGCACATTTCTCTTGCCTGTCCCTAAATGCAAAACTTCACTTTCCTAAGATTGCATTATATGCAACATAACTTGGAAAGAGATGCCAGTTGAGGAATTGGGGTTCACTAGGATCCCAATCCTATCTATTTGCATCTTAAGGATATGATCTCAACCATTCCAGTTCACATTCTATAGAAACTAATGGTAAATGGGTTTTAGGTTTACCTCTCATGCTTCATAAGGCCCTTCTGGCAATCATCACAGAATGCAATGAATTGATTCCAGACCCAGTAAATATTATGGCTGATTTATAGGTTCATATCTGAGATGAAAATAAGTCATAATGAATTATTTCCTCCCTCTCTATATTCATATAACACATATACTTATCCGTGCAGCACAATGTGATGGGATAAGTATTTACGGCACCTTGGAAAAAAAATTATCTAACCCTCAGTACGTACTCTAGACCACAATTTTAAGCATTAAAAGATGAAGTTAAAATTCCTAGTGATTTTTAAATGTTAAAAATGGTTGAACAAATTGCTTTTGACAATGTTAGATGATAAAAAAAAATAAAGGCAAAGCCTTCCTGGAAATAAAAGAAAGTCTCAAGAGAAAGGGAAAAAAAGAGAGAATGAGAGAAACAGCAGCAAGAAACAACAGCAATGTGTTACCTTTACAATTTCTAATACAAAATATTTTGCATTGCTTTGTAAAACAGCTATTATGAGTGCCTCCAGATCAAAGAAATATAACAATAAATAGACAGTAGAAAGTAATGGGTTTAGGCTCATGGTCAGAGAAGCAGTTCTCGATGGTGTAGCTGGAGGATTTTTCAGAACCACAACTTGCAGCATCTGGGATCTGGTGGTTCCAATTTAGGGGTGGGGGAATTTCTTATGGCAGCAGCTCTTCTCCAAAATATGAGAAGCCTTTAAATTCTTCTTGGTTGATTTGCTTTATAATTGTCTCATCCACTGGTGTTAATATTGGGTCTTCTCGTGTAAAGTCTTGATCAAAATTATTTACATCCCTTTTGGTTTTCTGAGGAACAAAAACAAAAGATGAAGAATGAGTGGCATTCTCCCACCAACAACCAACTATTCTTTTTCTAGGATGGGGAAAAGAGTGATAGTTTATTTGTTAGGCTTCTAAAAGAAGACAGTTTCATTTCATATACATATTTTCTCTCTCTCTGTCTCTCTCTCTCTCTCTCTCACACACACACCACTTCATACAAGAGAAAGTGAGAAAAGAAGTTGGCCAAGTGAGAGTGCAGAAGCAAAGAATGGTTTTGGATAAGCCCATAGCCTTTAACTAAGAAGTTGGAAGCAAAGCGATGTTATACCAGAGAGCTTAAATTATACCATCCTGCAATAATTTGGATAAATGAATCATGAATTCAAACAGATCTTGCCTGCAAATGGCATTATGGGTTGATTACAAATGTAGGAGTGGAGCACATGATCCCTATTACTAATGATGAATATGACATAAGGTAAGCAAAATCTCACAAATTCACAGCGTTTGCATTTTTAGGATCTAGAAGTGATTGTTTTTCACTAATAAGAACTTCCACAACTGACCTGTGGAAGGTCCAAGATCTATAGTCCTGATATTCCCAGTTCTAATTCTGATAACGAAGGCAGCATTTTGAATATATCAGTAGAACTGGCACATTGGGGTGGTTGTGTCTACCTAGTATACTTACTATAACGCAGTTACTCTAAACCTTTATGCTAATAAATTGCCCATCAATGAAATGCTTCATCTTCCAGATTTGTACCCCCACAGGAGAAACTTACCTCTTGAAACATCTTTAGCTCAGTGGTTTCCAAAGCATGAGCCAGGTTTTCAGGGAGTGACACAAGCTTCCAATGTACCCTTCACAATGTTTATCTTAACTTGGCAGGGACTCAAAATATTTATATACCCCATCCCAGCCAGTCCCAATATAAAGGGAAAAGATATGAGAAGTGCATGTTACATAGAAATATCTAGTTTTCCAAAAATTTCGTTCTCATTAGGGTCCCTTTGCTATACCCTTAAAAAAAACCCCCTTGTTATGTATGAATCCATACCTCAATCTTTAATATACTGAGCCTAAAAAAAAATGACAGCTACCAGACAAATGGTTCACTCTGCTTTTACTCATATTCGGGCAGATGTACCTCATTTTTTTGCTTATGGAGGCAAGCCACGGATAGTGTTTTCTGGAGTTGGCATGAGTTTGGAAGTGTCCCCCTGACATGGCTATGGTTGTATTATTACACATTCACCTTTTGTACACCACTAATCTCAAATGGTTTTCTATAATTACTGAAAAGGACATCATATGATTAAAGTCTCCCAAGTAGGAAGAAATCAGAGAATGTTTTCATTATAGTTCAATAGAGAATTAAGCACAGAAATATATTTGTTAAGACTGAAGTGTGTAACGTTTCCAAGCAAATTCCTCCCACAGAAACTTTCTTGCCACTATTAGGATTGTATATCCCCACAACTTGTAGAGAAATGAGTGAATTCCTTTGCATGGACTTTGGAAGCATGTACAAAACTTGCATTGTCTCAGTCATCTTTGTGCAACCTATAGGGCAGCCTTCTCCAAAACAAAATACAAATGTTTTAAAATACAATTTCTTATCTAGCAACCATGGGCACTGTAGTTAGAAACAGGGAAGGTGCAGTATTTATGCATACAATATATATCCCATATTTTTATTGTTGAAAACAATCACATGTTAAGACAGACTGCTTTAGAATCATATATAAAGTGGGCTGCCAACTTTTTAACTGGATTTCTGCACTCTTTAATTGTCTTGCTGACATGACCATGCATCTCAGTTGGGTTGCTTTCTGCCAACCAAGCTACTATTAAAAGCACAGGAGCAGGCCAAGATTTTTCACAGTCAATTGGCAACTCTAGTACAAAGCCAGTGAGTCCTCAAATGTGAACTATAGACTTATTCTCTTAGGTTAGCTGCTTCCTACTGCTGTTGAAGCACCTGTCAACAGAGGACAGAGGACCACTGCCTCTTAGCAGCTGAAAATAAGTGTTGACAAGGGAAGAATTTTATAAAGATTTCAGTGTTCTTCCACTCTAGCCAAATTATTTGTGTGCTCTTTCGGCACTGAGTTTGGAGAACCCAGAGGATGTAATTGCCCTACTGCAGATTTCCAGTTTTTCCCTGTGGTCTTCCAGCCTTCTTAAAAACTAGCTGAAGGCACCATTTTTATAACTTTGAAGGAAACTATAGTGCCAGATGGGTCAACATGGACTAAGACAGTGCTAAGACAGTTCAAGCTCACGGTTACAAAAATAATTTGTGATGCATTCAGTGAAACCCTGCCTTTTTATATTCCTTGCCCTGTCCTGCATTCGTAGTTGATTGTCCTTCCCCACACCTGATCAACTGCAGCACAGTTCCCTATCATGTTTCAAATACTTAACATCTATTGCTTGGTTTAACTTTTGTATTTTTGTTTTATAGCTATAGTGCAACTGCATAAATTAAAACAGCACATATTTGTACTTAAGTCCTTTCACAGCTTGAGGGAGGGGCATATTTTCAATCCATACCCCAACACACTCCTTGCTCAAGTTTGCCCCTTGTTGCTTTCTTTAGATTAATCCTCCAATGGAAATACTGAACCCTTTTCTTACAGAAGCGCCCCCAGCCTCTGCCTGCAGCTTCTGAGAGAGAGAGAGTAGGAGATCCCAAACTTGAGAACCAAAGAAGAAATATGAGAAGAAATGAAGGCAGAGATTCATGATACATTCAAGAAGAGACAGGGAGGTATGGAGGAATCAAAAGCAAAGAGTTGAGAGAAAAGAGAGGAAAAAGAAAAGAGCTGTACAAGAAATATTGCTAGGTAATCAACAGGAAAGTCTCACATAATTGGATTTGGAATATTCCTGGTAAATGTAGTCACATAAAGTAGGAAATATTTTGCTGAAACTGACCCATTTATACACTGCTCATAATAGCTGTCTTTCAGAACTTTTTAAAACACCGTCAGTGACATTATTCATAAAATTTTGCAAGATCAGACAAAATAGCAGTATTCTGAACTACAGGGCTAAGATACATAACACATATACAAGCACATACAGATCAGATTTTTTTCCTTTCTTTTTAGCAAAAGAAAGGAAATAACTCAACACTATGAAGTGAGAAGCTGAACAGGGTGGCAATGTGAAGTGGATAAGGGAAAGGCTAAGTATTTCTGCTGATCTGGCATATGCAACCATCCTTCATAAAGTGATACTCTAAAGAAAAAATGGGGCAGCAAAAAGCAAATGGGTTAACAATTGCTTGTCTGCATGAAATGTGCAAGAAATTAACTCTGGAACTAATGTGATTTGTTTGCCATTTATATTATCGTACATTGTAGATTTATATTTACTATAGCAATATCCAATTTTTCCTCCAAGGAGTTCAAGGCAATATAGGTAGTATAATAGCACTCATGCTTCCCAAGTTCATTTGCTTGACTCAGACTGAGAATTGCTGTTAAAATGGGGTTTCACTATTTTTCTCCTTTGAGTTGAGCTCAACTATTGGTGACTTCAGGGACATGTCCATATAAGTTTTCTCAGCAGCAAAATGGAAGTAGTTTGCTGTTCTTGGATAGTATGGTTCCCCCCCCCCTTTTTTTTACTTCCCAATCTAGCCTACAGCCATGGAATCTTTTAGTGGTCTCTCATCTGGGTACTAACCATGTCTGCCCCTTCTTAGTATTTCAAGAATAGCCAAGACTGGCTAGATGCTGCCACCTAGCTGGGCATGACCATAATTATTGTAAAATAAGTATAACCCAAATGTTATATTTCCTAGATCCATACCAGCTTTGAAGAAATGAGGTCTTCACGTAAGCTGCATTGAGCTCCTAGAGGAAAGATGGGATATAAATCTAACATATAAATAAATACAGAACTGAGAGTGCTTCAGCCATTTGGGATGCACTGTGGCTTTTCCTCTTCTCTGGGGAAAGCATGATGCCCACCAATACCCCTCCCCCCTCAATCTCTTATAAGCAGTGATGGGACACTTTCTACCCATAGCAAGAGGAGATAATAGAAGCAGATCTCTTGAACCTGAAAGTAGAGGAAGGGGTGTGTAATGCTCCTCTGCTAAATTAACCCCACCTCTTTCTGCCTCCCTCTTTTGGGAAAGACAGTGCTTTGTAGACAGGAGGAGGGGAGGAGGAAGATTTTCTGCAAGATAAGGAAAAAATAAAATAAAAATGAATTCATGTTTAGAATACTTGTTATAGACAAGTCTGCCATAGTTCTTCTCTTGATCAAGCAGGATTTAAGCAGGTGATACTCATTCCCTTTCCATTTCACAATACGTGAAAGGGAGCAGAGGATACATTTCTCCATTTCCAGCCATCACAATTCCCCTCTGCTCCGCCATCTCTACTGGTCTATATGAGGAAGAAGTGTCTGATTTGAGCTTATGGCATATGGAATAGGATAGGCAACAACAATAGTCCTTGTTCTGTGCTGTGCCCCATTGCTAGTCAAGTATGCCACACTTTAATACTAGACCAGTTGGTAAGTCTGAGACATCAAAACTGGCTAGAAATGTTATTGTATCAGAATAAGAGTATTGCATATGAGAGCCTTATTTTCATTCACATATATTCGTGCTGCTCAGTGTTTCAGTCTTTTCCTGTTCTTTGATTTTATCTTCTTTTAATTTTACATGGAGTAGTAAAAAGTGCAGAATCAATGCAGAATTAGCATAACTGAACAATAATACAA